ACCGAGGAGCAAGACAGACGGGCAGAACAAGTCAATCTTGAGTTAGGCTTTGCTTTTCATTTTTCTTTTGATATTTATTTTATGTATGTGAGTGTTTTGCCTGTATGTTTGTCTGTGCGGCACATATGTGCCTGGTGCCCATGGAGGCCAGACAAAGGAACTTTCCCAGCCATGGAGTTACAGATGCGTGTGAGCTTCCAAGTGGGTGACAGGAACCGAACCTAAGTTCTCTGTAAGAATAGGACGTTCTCATAACTGCTGAGCCATTTCTCTACTCTCTCCCAGTCTCATGTAGCTAAAGCTGGCCTTGAACTTATTACGTAGATGAAGATGACCTTGATTTCTGATCCTCTTGCCACCACATCTCTTGGGCAGGGATTACAGGCATCTACCACATGTAGTTTGTGTGGTGCTGGGGATGAGGCTCAGGGCCTTGTATAAGCCAGGGAAAAACTCATCTGAGCTATAGCCCCAGTATTCAGTTTTAGGTTTGAATCTTGGCTGGCTCTCTCGGGTTCATCAACTGACTCACCGTGAGCCTTAACTTCCTCTCTCTAAAGATGATGGCTTTCTGGGCTGTCTGGGAGAACAAACTGAAACCAAGAAAATGTCTAAATACAGGACCTGCTGCTGGGCACCGGTTGCTGCTGTCATGACACCTCTGCTTAATGTTTAAAGGTATCAAGCCAGTGACTGCACTGAGCATGTCTTGGCTAAATTCAGCTTAGTCACCTTTCTACTGGAGCCTGGACCCTGAATCAGGAGAGGAAGTCTACAGCTGTCCCAGACACAAAGAGCAGTTCCGTTTACACAGACTAACCCACCCAGTGATTTAGAGTTGGACCATCTTGCCTTCCTACCAGGGTGCCCTGGACAGACTCATTGCTGGCCTCCTCCCGGCCAGGTCATGTGGCTGCTACCCTCTGTCACACACCACGCTATAGTCACTGACTTTCTGAAAATGCCATGTGGAGTTCACACTGTGCCTACTCCATGAGATCTCACCCTCCACTACTCCATTTCTGGGCTGGCATTTCAGGGCACTGGCTACACACCTCACAGGCCTCTGCCCACTGTCTCTGCATCCTGACGAATCCCTTTTCTGGATAAACCAAACAGCCTTTCTAACTCTTTGCCTTTTTGTGGGTAATTTACCTTCCCTAGAGTTTCTGGTCCCTTATCTGATCCCTCCACACACCACGATCCCCTCCTTTTTAAAGAAAATGTATTCTTTTCCATGACGTGGGCATGTGTCTGTGTTTATGCTGTGCATGTGAGTGCAGTTGCTCTTCGAGTCCAGTAGAGGGCATTGGATCACCCAAAGCTGGAGTGAGTGACAGGTGGTTTTGAGCTGCCTTTTGGTGGGTTCAGGGAACTAAACTCAGGCCTTCTGCAAGAACAGAAAGTATTCTTTGTTTGTTTTGTTGTTTTCTTTTGATTTTTTTTTTTGTTTTTGTTTTTCGAGACAGGGTTTCTCTGTATAGCCCTGGCTGTCCTGGAACTCACTCTGTAGACCAGGCTGGCCTCGAACTCAGAAATCCGCCTGCCTCTGCCTCCCAAGTGCTGGGATTAAAGGCGTGCGCCACCACCGCCCGGCTTCTTTTGATTTTTTCAAGACAAGGTTTCTCTTTGTAGCCTTGGCTGTCCTGGAACTCGCTCTGTAGACCAGGCTAGCCTCGAACTCACAGAGATCCACCTGCTTCTGCCTTTTGATGGTTGGAAGTAAAGGCATGTGGCATCACGGCCTGGCAAGAAAGCATTCTTAACTACTGAGCACCTCTCGAGTCTCTTCATCTGATTTCTAAAGCCCTCTTGGAGCAGGGACACATGCCCCAGTGTCATGCTTACCCTATCTACCTGGGTTAGGTGCTCCTCTTACATCCAGCCCCAAGCACAATGTGCTCACTGTCTGATTTTTGCACAGCTCCTGGGCTCTGAGCCCATCCTGACTAGCTGGGGGCCTGGACATGCCATTCAATCGCTCTGTGTCCTTATCCGTAGGGTTGTAAGCCGAGGGCATCCTTGCAGATCTTAGGAGGTTAGGGGCCACTGTGATTGACAATAACAGCTACTAATAACCCATTACCTGGCTTAGGCCCACAGATAGCAGGAACTCAACAGAGGTTTGCATGGATCTAGTCCCATTCCCTAAAAAGGCTGGAAGGTGGTTCTTGATCACCACCACCCTCTACATCCATATTCGTATCAGGGGTTTAGGCCTGGGGTTTTCTCTTTTTTTTTTGGTTTTTCGAGACAGGGTTTCTCTGTGTAGCCCTGGCCTGGAACTCACTCTGTAGACCAGGCTGGCCTTGAACTCAGAAATCCGCCTGCCTCTGCCTCCCAAGTGCTGGGATTAAAGGCGTGCACCACCACCACCTGTCTCTGGGGTTTTCTCTTATTGGTCAGTGGTTTCTACAAGCCTGTTGAAGACTGGAACTTGAATAAAATGCTAGTAAATTGTGGGATGGTAATGATTTTCCAGTTTCCAGCCTAATAGTGTCTCCCCTGGGACTCAGAGAAAACTTTTGGGTATCTTCAGCACAGACAGAATGGGAGGTTTTTTTTGTTTGTTTGTTTTTTTGTTTTTTAAAGAAGATATGTAGCACACAGAGAAACCTTGTCCAGAAAAAAAAAAAACAAAATAAAACAAAACAAGAAGGCTTGTAGCTTAGGCTGGCTTCTAACTCATGGTCCTCCAGCCTCAACCTTCTTAAGTGCTATGCTTAGTAGCTTGTGTCACCACAGCTGGTTAAGTGTTTTATTTAGTGAGGGAGACAGGCTGAGACCTGTCTCCTCCTCTCCCCAGCCCTTGATGGCTGTTCTTGGTGTGCATTCAAGAGCTGGTATGCGCAAATAGTTCTGTGTGTCATTCACTATACAGTTCAACATAGGTCAAACACACTTGGACTCACTACTGGGGCATTCACTACTCACAGGAGGCAGAGACAGCTGACGGGACTTGTGTGTACGAGTGGTATATTTGTGTACGGTCCTAGGTGAATGCACGCATGCGCATGCCACGGCAATTGTGTAGAGGTCAGAGCACAGTCTTGGGTGGTTTTGATTTCCACCTTGCTTGACACAGGGTCTCTTGTATTGTCACTGTGTATGCCATGCTAGCTGGCCCATAGTCTTCTGGGGAATTTTTTTTTCTCTTTTCCCACTTTGCAGCAGGAGTGCTGGGATTATAGTCACATGCTACTGAGTTGGTGTTTGTGAATTCTGGGGATTTGAACTCATGTTCAAAGTCATTTTACCATCTCCCGAGCCCAGCCACAGGTCTTTAGAGGTTTGACTTGCAGGGGACTGGAGATGAGGAAGCTATGTGGAAGAGCTTCTCCCAGCAATGACCAGAAGGGGATTTTTTTTTTTTTTTTTGTCTCCAAGCTACACACTGGCCCATTTGATATGAGTCTCTCTTAGGTAGGTGTGGGAACTGAAGACCAGGGTTGACCAGGTTTAGTCTGAGACTTGAGTGGCCTGTGGTGTGGGTAGAACCCCAGGCAGCTGGATCACCCTGGGGGAGATTTCTTTCCTGAGATCCTAGGAGGGGCTCTCCTCAGGATGCTGAGGGTTTGTGTCCTCTCCCAGTATGCCCCCCCCCTCCCCCAAAAGCAAAGGCCAGGAAGTATCAAAGACCAGAGGAGAGGCCTTCAGTGGGGCTATTTCAGAAGAGGGAAGGGATATTTCCTTAAAAATTTAAGTTTTTTTTTTTTTTTCCAGGCATATACAACCAATTGGCTTTGGAAGGCACAGCCAAAGATGACCTTGAATTCAAGTCTGCTTGCCTCCACTTCCTTAATGCTGGGATAACAGGCACATGCCATCTTGTGGGGTTAGGTAGTGATGTAGTACCCAAGAACCAATCTAGGGTTTTGTGCATGCTAGACAAACACTTTACTGACAACTGAGATTCAGCCCCAGTCCTATTTACTTAGTTATCTTATTTTGTTTCTTAAAACAGGGCCTTCTGTCTTGACTGGCCTGAAATTCACTGTGTAGCTCAAACTGGCCTCGCGCTCACAGTAATCCTCCTGCCTCAGCCCACTGAGTGCCTCAGCCCCTGAGGCTTGTAGTGGTGAGCGACCAGGCATAACTCTGTGTGTGTGTGTGTGTGTGTGTGTGTGTGTGTACAATTTCAATCCCAAGAAACTGTTTTACAGACCAATCTGGCCATCCATGGGGAAGCAGCTTGGGTTGGAGAGGCGGTGTCAGGGGTGCAGCGGTTAGAACCCCGGCTTTCAGCCCAGCCTTGCACTAGGAAGGGGAAGTACTGGTCGGCATCCTCTTGGTCATGGGGCAGACTTTATTTCCCAAGCCCGGCCCAGGATGGCGTGTTGGCTAGGGGCGCAGGGCTAGGGCTCAGCTGTGCACCCTCGGGGGCGCGGCCCGCGTGACGTCCCCTCGAACACTACCCACAACATTCCGGGGTGCGGCGCAGGGACTGTCGACGCTTGCCCAACCCCGGCCCCCTCCCCAGAGGCCGCCCCTCCCGTCGGGCCGCGCCCGCCTCCACCAAGTCCCCGCCCGGGGCCCGGCCCATCCCGGACTCCGCCCGCCCCGGGGAGGCCGAAGCCGCTGTTGCCGCCATTGACGTCAGAGGGCGGGCACATGACCCCGCAGGGACCAATCGCGCGCGCCAGCCTCCCGCAATCTCCCCGGCAGCCGGCGCGGCCCCCGCCCGCAGCACACATTCGCGGACGGACGCGGACACACGCACCGCACAGCGCGCCCGCGCGAGGCCGAGACACGCCCGCGCCCGCCGTCCCCGGCGCCGCCCCCGCCCCCCGAGGACCCGAGCCTCTCTGCGCCCCGCGATCGTCCGCCGCCCTCGCCGCAGTCGCCAACCCCGTTCGCGCCGGCATGCGCCCCAGCAGCTAGAAGGAAGCAGCCCAGGAAGCGCCCCGCGCGCCCCCGCCCGCCCCCGCGCGCTCCCGTTCGTCCCCGCGGGGCGCCCCCCAGCCCACGCCCCCCCACCTTCCCGGCGGTGGGGGGGTGCGGGCCCTCCGCGGGGGCCCTGCCGGCCCGGCCCCACGCCAGCCGCGATCGCGCGCGCGGCCCCCGCCCCGGCGCGGCCATGGATGTGACGAGCAGCTCGGGCGGCGGCGACCCCCGGCAGATCGAGGAGACCAAGCCGCTGCTAGGGAGCGACGTGTCGGGCCCCGAGGGCACCAAGGTGATGGGCGCCGTGCCTTGCCGCCGGGCCCTGCTGCTTTGCAACGGGATGAGGTACAAGCTGCTGCAGGAGGGCGACATTCAGGTCTGTGTCATCCGGCACCCTCGGACCTTTCTCAGCAAGATCCTCACCTCCAAATTCCTGAGGCGCTGGGAGCCGCACCACCTAACGCTGGCCGACAACAGCTTGGCATCCGCCACGGTGAGTGGCCCTGCGTGGCCGTGGGGCTCCCCAACCTGGGGTCCCCCGGGACCGAGGCGCCCCGCTGGTTGTCCCCGAGCGCGCGGCCCCCTAGTCCCGGCCTGCGCACTGAGCTGGGCTGGAACCTCTAGACTTGATCCTCCAAGGCAGGCTATGGGAGCCCTCCTTCGTGTCGTGGACACTTAGCCCACCCGGACTGAGTGCTTGGCCACTTTTGCCTAAGCGCCTGCGTTTCCTATGGCTGGGACCCTGGTGAACCCTAGACTGGGCCCTGAGGATAGTGGTGTGTTGTTTCTTTTCTGAACTCGTTGCCCATCTGGATCTGAGCTACAGGAGAAAACAAAACGCAACCCTCTACTCCATAAAAACCGTAACCCCCCAGCGCCAACAATTTCCAGAAAGCAACTCCTGCTCTTGCTTTAGCCTGCATTTTTATTCTTTTTTTTTTCTTTTTTTTTTTTCTGCCGGGCCTGGCAAGGCAAAACCGGGTGCCTGTCCTTTCTAAAAAATCTCCTTCACACGTTAAGGGGTTGGAGAGGGGGAGGGGGGCCGAGGTTCTGGACCCGCTCAGACCCTGGGATAGTCAAGTTCTCTGGGTAGAAAAAGCTGGGCTGCCCAGCCTGCCCTTGCGTTGTCTGTGGAGCGTGTGTAAGCATGTTTTGTGGCTGCGTCCTGTTTTGTTACAGTTTTTTTTTTTTTTTTTCTGCTGTGTGGCCAGGACCAGGTCAGCTGGATGAGATGGAGAAAGGAGGATCTTACTAGTTGCTTTCGGAAATCGAATCTGCAAATGGTGGCCTTCTTCCTCCTGGGGACAGACAGCTGTGGTGGGGTCGAGGAGGGGGAGTGGGGGCGGTGGGCAGGGCCTAAACAGGATGCTTTGTGTTTTTCCAACAAGGGCAGTTTCAAATACAGGCTCTGGCTGGGCCTTAGCCTGGCGCTTGGGGACTTATCTTTGTAGGGGCCCCCTTCTTGTCTAGAACGTACCGTACCCCCATGGCAGGCTCTGTGGTGTTTACTAAACATCATGGGAGAGGGCAGAATGCATTGCCTTGCTCACACCTGTGCCAAGAAAGCCCAGCCAGGAAACAGGGTGTTGCTTACATGCATGCCACAAACGTGTAGCGTGTGTAGACATTGCCTCGGCATCCATGTTCCCTTGGTGGTGGTGTGTCACAAACTGTGACACATGCTCCTAGGAATGAGGAGGGGGGAAAAAGTTAGCCTAGACACCCTAATCCTTGAGTCTGCCTCCCCTACCCCTTTGTCGTACACAAGGAGGACGTTTATTCTGAATTTTGGCTCTGATGTACTCAGAGCACCTATTTTTTTTTCCCCTAGGCTGTGGGCATGTTGGTGCAGTAACTGCAGACTTTGTCCCCAGGAGGATTGAGGGTTGCCGGTTGGTGTGTGTTCTTAAACCTGCCTTGAGTCATAGGCTTCGGCCTTGATCTCCATTTGATTGGCCAGTACCGAGGGTTTCAGGTCCCAGAGGTGCCTGGTAACCTTCCCTGGGCTCTGGAGACCCCAAATTTGGCTTTAGCATTAGTACCTGGCTGAGTTGGGGGTGGGGGGTTTCTTTTTAGGCTCTCTTTTTCTTGCCATCCCTCAAAATGCCAAGGAGTTGTCAGCAAAGGACAGTAGTTGAGAGACAGTGACTCGCTATAGGAAGGACAGAACATTCCCTGGTCCTCCGGGGCACAATCACTGTGTGGCTAGCTGATCTTTGGCTACCTCAGGCTAGAGGCTCCCCCACTTACCCTCAAGAGGTCTCTGTCTGTTGAGAGAGAGAGCACGGAAAGGAATCAGACCCGAGAGTCTCCAGCAGCTAGGACCCCCCTGCCCACCCATGGCGGCTGAGGTGTGTGGATGGGCTACCTCGGAGGAACACCTGAGACCTGTGTGTGGCCCCAGGGTTTCTGAGGTGCAAGCCTTGTGTGTCAGAAAATAGGGAAAAAGGAACTGGAAACATGGCCCAGGCTGGTGTAATCCTGCCCTTCCCTTTCTTCACCTGGCGTGAGGGAATTCCGTCAGTGTAGCTCGTGCTCTGTGGGGGCGTCAACAGGGGCCTCCAGTGGAGGCCTCTAGTGGAGGTGTGTGGCTCCCTCTCCCCCCCACCCCCAGGGTCTGTGTGGATGGAGGTGTGGCCACCAGGGCCTGGAGCAGTAGCCTCCAGGCCAGAGGTGGGGTTGGGGTTCGCAGCTAGGGATTTTGTCCCATGTGGAGATATTTGCTTTGTGTCCACTCTCTGGGAAGTGGAGGAGCCTACTTGGGGTTCCCTTAGGCCTGGGCATTATGTAACCTGTCTGCATTTTATGGTGCGGCCCGACCACTGTATTGAGAAATATTTGCTCAAATGAAACAAAGGTGAGTTTGAGTGCAGTTCATTCCCAGAGAACCATTTGTAGCCCCTGGCCCAGCCTTGAGTTGCCCATGTAGAAGTGTGTCTCCCAGAGGGATGATGTGTATGTTGCCCATAAGAAGCTCAGTTTAGAATTGTCTGGGGGTTATTCAGTTAATTGCGTGGACTTCCGGAACAGGACCCAGAGAGACCGATCAGGATTTAAATCTGTCAACAAACAATTCACTCATTTGTCCAAACCATCTCCTGAGTTGGCTGTCTACACCCGAATCGTGAGGGATAGAGAGGCTTCCTAGACCCCAGCTGCCCCGTGCTGGGGTGCAAGCCAAGTTTCTGGGGTCTCTCAGTCCCTTCTGGCAAGGCTTTCCAGCTGGTGACACACTTAGTATGGAAGTCTCTTGGTTCCCTGGGGCAGAAGACCTGAAAGGGAGTCTGGTGCTACCTCCCCTGACCTGGCTGTAAACTTTGCCCTCCGTGGGGTCAGGTCAGAGCTTGCCCTGTGCTGTCTACTGGTCCGGTTACTGATTAAACCCTTGCAGAAGCAAGGCCAGGTTTGACGAATTTAGGAGACTTTGGAACCAGAATGCTTGTCAACAAAGAGGAGGTCCTTAGCGTCTGTAGGAGGAGGGATCATGAGGGTCGCTTCTGAGGGACAGAGGCTGGACCTTCTTGAGGAAGTGCCTGCCCACTCATGTGGCCTCTTAGTCCTCACTCGTACTTGCCTATCCCTGGGCCTTCCTGGGCTCAGCATGGACACCTACCTTGTTATAGGTTGGAACCTACAATGAGCCCGGAATTTTGTAGAAGCGTCCTCCTTGGAGAGGACAGGCATCCATCTTGCCGTTGGTTGCATGGCTAAATTTGATCACCTGCTAGATGTGTTTGTCTTTTGTCTCTAGTCTTTGTTTCCTCTGCACCAAAGAAGTACAAAAAAAAAAAAAAAAAAGAAAAGAAAAAAAAAGCCACCCCTGCCTTTCATCCTCATCTCACCGTTGAAAACAAACCAGAACAAAACAAAAACCAAACAAATGGTTTCAGAATGGCAGGTCTGATCCGCAAAGACCTTTGCTCGTGCTGAGTGGGGATTCGGACACGAGGGACAGGGGGAGTCTTTATTCTCCAGCCTCGTTCCTCCAGGGCTGCCGTTCACTTTGTCTGCACTGCTGCTGCTGGCCTCTAACATCTCTGGGAATCTGGTTGTTCTTGTCTGTGGCTTTTTTCCCTCCGGGGTGTCTGAGCATCCATCCTATGAACTTGGATTTTGTTTCAGTAAAATGCTTCCGAGATCTACTGTGTGGCCCTTTTTTTCCAGCTAAGCGTCACCTCCAGGTGCTGGGTTTTTTTTTTTTTTTTCCTTGAGAATGAAACCCTCCAGTCCCCAGGGATCCCACCTATGTACACACGAATGTTGGAATATGAGCTAATGTTTTTTCTGTTTTGCCACGTAGGTCCCTCCTCTGTCCGCCCATCTTCTCCTTTTATGATTCTGCCATTTAGTAAGCACTATTTTTTTTAAACGTCACGAGTAAATATCGGAGTATATTGAATTTGTTTCGTAGGTAGTTGTGTGTTAAGAAACGGGGGAGGGGGGCAGGGATGGCGAGGACTGGAGCGGCATGGCCTGCCTTCCACAGTCTGTAGGAAGGCAGTGCATTTTAAGGAGAGCTGCTCAAAGCTGGCCACTGGTGCCCTTCCTGGTTGAAGGTGTTTTGCTGGGTGCTTTCTCTACGGGGCCACAAGGGAGACTTGTGCTTTTGGAATCCCAGGTGGCTTAGGACTTTCTGGGCATTTTGTGGGGAACACAGGAACTGAATTATTCCTAAGGCAAAGTGCCCCAGGGTACCCACCACCAGCCACTTTTCCCTTACCTCTCTCCAGGGGGACCAGCCTGGCATTTCATCGGAATGGATATTTGAGATGGTCTAGTTACGCCCTTGATTAAAGGATTAAATAAAGCTATTACGGGCCAGCATAGCCTTGCATCGGCCCCAAGGTGGGGGGTGGGGTGGGGGGTGCAGAACAAACTTGGGTTTTACCGTAGTCATGTGGAACTTTGGGCGCCTTGCTTTTCCTGAGGGGCCTTGGATTTGTCACCACGTGCAAGGTGACAGTTCACCTCATTGATGATGGTGATAATTCAGATGTTGACATGGGTTCTGGTAGTAGGACAGCCAGCACACAGTTAGGAACAGTTTTCATGATGAAAGAGAGGCCCCTGAGTGAGCTCTGTAGAAATGGAAGGATTATTATGGGCAGCCAAGATGGCTCAGCACTTGGCTGAGTCGGTTGCCGTCAAACCCTCCCACCCAAGTACGATCCTTGGGACCACGTGGTGGAAGGAGAGACTCCTGTGAGTTGTCCTGACCTCCACACACATAAACTTGTCTCTCCTCCTTTCCCAGCACCAAAAAACATTTTTTTTTTTTAAAGTAAAGGTCTTTACTATTTAAAGAGGGCCAGTCACTTGAGGTACACAGAATAGTTGGGGAAGTTAGGGGTGATTGCAGAGCTGAGTTGAGTCTATAAGATTGTTCCAGGAAGTTTAGAAGAATTTTTCCAGGGGTTCTTTAAAAAAAAAATCATCTATATGATTTTAAATATAGATACACACACACATATATAATGTATATATATATATATA